TACGGACGTCTGCTTATCTGGAAGGTGGGGTGCGTCACGCCGAGCCGTGCTCCTCATGGGGCGGCGTCGGAACAGAGCAGGGGACAGAAAACCAAACAAAGAGAAAACCCCCAGGACTGGACTTATTAGAAAGGTTAGCTGGTTCTGACCACACAGGTGTGAAGGCACGGGGGCCAGTCCGGGCTGCTGTGAAGTTCAGAGGCAATTGGGGGGGTGGGCAGTGCGGTTGGGGGCAATGTGTCATTTATTGCTCCAGGAGAAGAGGCCAAAAATGGTCTGTTTAGTTTTGTTTTTTAAAAAGCCAGGGCTTGGCCAGGCCGCCCCGGCTGGCTGGCTGGCTGGGTTCACAGGGATTCTCGGGTCTGGGAGTGGGTGCGGGTGCTGGTGCAGCCCGCCTACACCTTGTAGTTGAGCTCGGCGTTCATCTTGGTGTACATCTCGTAGATGATGTCGATGGTGGCCGTGTAGTTGACCAGGAAGAGCCGGGTCTTCTCCAGGCACTCCTCCTCCGTCACATTCTGCCCCTTGGACAGGGCTTTCAGGAAGTCAGACTTATGGGGGGCTGCGTACAGCGCCGCCTGGAAGATCTTCTGCACGATCCAGCCGTGGTACTTCTTGAGCGCCATCTCATAGGCCTTGGTGGCGTTGACCCGGATGAGGTTGGGGTGGTTCTCGTCCCGCTCCCCGTCGCAGATGCTCTGGAGGAAGACCTGGATGAAGCGGAGGCCTCTTTTCAGCCACATCAGCGCCAGCGTGGCCCCCACCTTGGGCCACTGGGCTCCATACATCTCCTTCTCCACCTCCAGGATGTTCTGCAGGGTCCGGAACTTGGTGGGATCGGTGTCATATACAGCCTTGATTTTCGTGATGTTACCGCTAATGTCGGCCTTGATGGGGGTGAACACGGGGGAGCCGAGGCAATCGAAGAAGGGCGGCAGGTGGGACACGGCCTCCAGGAAGGGCCCGGTCTCGATCTGCTTGTCGGCGGGCAGCGGCTTCAGGAGGTGCTCGGCCAGCAGCGCCATCTCATCTTCACCATCAGAAGAGTAAGCAGCCAATTCAGACCTCCCCTGAAGCGGGAGTGACGAAAATCAGGGGAAGTCAGTCCCTGGGAACCCCTTCCCCAACTTGTCTTCCCACTTAGGAAGACCCACCTCATACATCAAGCCATCCCACACCTTCTCAAGGAGGATGATAAATACAGGAAGTCAAGTGTCCTGCCTGGATTGTCCCTTAAACCAACGTTAGACCTGGGTGGAGGGGAGGCAGGTGGGAAGTGAGGGGTGATATTGAGATGAGAAAAAAACCTAATCAAATATTCTAGAATATCATGCCTCATGGAATCATCTTGGAATGGTTTTTTTCAGTCATTTTATTGGGGGCTCATACAATTCTTACCACAATCCATACATCCATCCATTGTGTCAAGCACATCCGTACATTTGTTGCATTAGAATGTTCTATGTGTCTAACAAAACCAACAATTCCTCAAGCCTTTAAAAAAATAAAAACAAAACAAAAGAACGCTTCCTAGACTCATATATGACTCTCCTGAGTAAGGAGAGGTATTAGTGGACTCTCCTTGGACAATTACTTTCAACTCAGTTTATGAGCCCTTCAAGAAGAATAGGTTTAATAGGTTTGTATTCTTTTTGCATATTCATGTGATGGAATCGCCTGCTTTATTTGCACCCTTGGACAAGTCACATTTCGTCTCCCAAGCAAAGATCTCTCTTCATGGAGGACACGCCCAAGAATGCACTGCCAGAACGGGGCAGCAATGTCCAAGCACTCCCAGAAGGCTGTCCTCTGAATAATGCATGTGTTCCCTCCAGGATGGCCTTGCACAGAGATGACACATAGGTTCTGACAGGTTATGTCACAACCAGTGATGTCATTCCACATTGCTCACTGTCCTCTCACCAACACTTCTCAGTGACCTTCAGTGAGTCACTGTTTCTCCCGGCCCCAAGCTGAAGGACTCGGATTCGTTGTTCAGGCTCCGCCAGACTCTCACATAAGAGAATAAAATGTTCTTTCTAATTCACAGGTGGTGGACTGTCGGGTGAATGCTATGGGACTTGATAACCATGTAATAACAACAGGGTAGTTGTCCAATTATAAGTCCATAAACAATGGATGTTTTTCAACACTTCTGCAGATTCAGTCTCTCTTTCAGGGTTCTTGAAATAGACTCATATCCTGCAATCCCAGAAAGAATTGGTGACTGTCGACAATGAGACATCTATCCCGGTCAGTCTTTACCAAAACCCCCTAAGAGCTATCACTGACAAAGCAGTTCAGAAGTTACCAAGCGGGGGCTCAGGTCTCCCAGGGATGGGTAGAGATACGGATGACACAGTTTAAAACCACACCAGGTGAGGTTAAAGTGAATGAAATCTATGGGGAAAGAAGTTGGGCCAAAGCTACAATGCAGTGTTTTCAGAACTGCGTGGCCTGGAAATCATGTCTCTCATTTAATGCCTCACTCAGGCTAATAACTTGACTGAGGAGATGGACTGCGGGGCAAGCACCGTTTTCATTCAGAAAGTCTGAGGTCAGGAACAAACCAACAAATAAACAAAGCCATGGAGCCCATCTGACTCCTGGCCTCCCACCCGTGTGTGGCTGAGCAGAGCGGCTCCATCTGTTCTCTTGGCTGTAATATTTGAGGAAGCAGATGGCCAGGCCTTGATGCTCAGACACTGCGGGGTGGGTCCCAGTACAAATCATTGGTGCTACCTAGAGACTCTGGTTGTGGAAGAACATGGAATAAATTCTTGCTCTAATGGGGGCAGTTTGGGTGTGCTTGAGGGGCAGGAACAAGCTGTGGGGGATGCCTGCATGTGGGCTGTGCACAGACTCGGGTAGAAGTCATGAGGCCAATGTTTTACCCACACAGGCTGCAAGTTGAGCAACAGAAGGAAAGTCAGCTCATGGCCGATGAGGGGGAAGCACAGCATGGAGATAGGGGTGTGGACTGAGAGTCCTTCATGCGTTAGCAAGGAAGATCAAGCTCAAAGGCGAAAGCCATGAAGACAGCAACAAATAAGAATAATAACAAGGATCGTAATTATGATTTGAAGTTCACACTTTATTCAGATTTCCTTCATTTTTTTACCTATTGTCAATTTCAATCCAGGAGACCAGATTACCTTTAGTCATTGTTATGGATTGAATTGTCTTCCCCCAAAATATCAGCTGGAATTCTAACCCCTACACCCATGGATGTGCTCTAATCTAATGCAATGTCTTCACCTTCCACATGTAGCACAGTCAATCTGTTGAGGTCATACCAATTGTGTGAGTCCAGGTAGACTAGAGAAACAAATTCATAAACTCACTTATGTGTATATGAAAGAGTTTTACGTATAAAAGCTGTTGAATATTGAGAAAACATCCCAGCCCGGTTCAGATCAAGTCCATAAGTCTGATATCAGCCCATATGTCCATTACCAATCTATAAACTCACAAAACACATGCAATGACACCAAATTCAGGAAGATCACAGGCCAGTGGGCGGCAGGTCTTGTGGATCCAGTGGCGGTGTAAGCATCTCAGCACTGGCAGAGGTCTCCACATGGCTGCTTTGGCTGCAGAGCTCTGGCTCCATCAGCCTCTCTCCATGTGTCTTCTCCACAGGGATGTCTCAGAGGGATTAACTGTGTGTCCTGCCTCCAGAAGTTATTTATCTCCTTAGCCTCTCTAAATGAGGTTATCAAGCTGGCACCTGACTGACAGGCTGAACTCCACCCCTTCGCTCTTAATACTCAAATTGACAACAGATTATGTAACTACAACAGCAATGTAGGGCGATCCTATACCTAATCCCTTCTGAGTCATAAAAAAGCACCATAGACCCAGGGACATTCATGCAGAAACAAATGCAGGGAGACAGCCGTCATATCTGTCTACAAATCAAGTAACCATGGGATACCTGTGGCTAGCAACAAGCAAGAAATGGACAGGCCTGACACATTGGATGGGACTCTTAGGCTCCAGAGCTGAGAGAACATAAATGACTGTTCTTTAGAGCCACACACTTGTGATATTTCTGTTGCAGCAACACAAGGAAACAGATACTCCTCACGCCTCCCTCCTTCAGCCCCTCTCGATCGATCGATGAGCGCTGCTTCTCAGAAGGCACTTGTTTCTAATGCCAAGGCTATCGGTTCCCAAGGTGACGGATAGCTTTTGGTGCTGATCTTGAGCACCTGGCTGAGGTAGAGGTTAGCAGCTTTCTCTACTCTAGAGCTGCTCCTCCTCATCCCTTCCGTATGATAAGGAGTCCCCGCTAACTGCAAGGTCAGCAACTTGAGACCACCAGCTGCTCGGTGGGAGAAAGGTGAGCATTTTTGCCCCCCTAAAGATGCACAGCTTCAGAAACCCCCAGGGGCCGTTCTAGTCTGTCTTATAGGGTCGCTATGAGTCAGGACTGAGCTGATGGCAGTGATTTGGTGGGGCCACGGTCAAAGTGCTCAGCTGCTAACCCCAAAGCTTGGCCGTTTGAACCCACGGGCTGCTCCGTGGGCGCAAGCAGCAGCAGTTGACTTCCATGAAGAGTCCCAGCCTCTGCGAGACTCCATTTCAGGTGTAGCTATTGGTCGTTCCCTGTCCAGAAGAAGAAACCCCAAAACGTACTGTCCTCGAGTTGAGTCGGACTCCGTACAAAGAGTGATGGAAAGTGATCAATGCATGGAAACGACCCAGGACTAAGGGGCCACAGAAACATCAGTCTCTACCCAATTCACAATGACACGTTGTTTTTCATAAAAAGGGTTACATACAGCTGTAGGATTTTCATGTGTTTATTCTGTAATAGATCTGTAAAATTACTAAGTAAAAAATAAGTTATCTTTTTTAAAAGTTATAGGTTATAGAGGTAAATACTGTTATAGATTTCATATATATATGTGTGTGTATATATATATGTATATATAAATATATATATTTACAGTTTTACAGTCTTGGAAATGCTATGGGGCAGTTCTCTTCGGTCTCATTCTATGGAGTTGCTTTGGGTATAGACTGAGCCCATAAGAACTAGATGGTGCCCAGCTACCACTACCAACAGCTCTGAAAGGGATCACAGTAGAAGGTTCTGGAACGCGTGGGAGAAAAATGTGAAACAAAACTCAAAATAATAAAAGAGGCCCAGTTTGTGGATCAGAATAAACCTGTGAGGCCCCAAGACTATGGCTCTTTTTCATCCTTCAGGTCTTGGACCCAACTCACCCCTGTGGTTTAATTTTCTGACAAACAATCGACAGTTCTGAAAGGGAAATGGTAATACTAGGGAGGTACACATGCCTTAGAATAATCAAGCACTTTTGGTTCTCCAAAAGGCAGTGTTTACCCAGGGACAAAGTTCAGAGGGCTAAGAAAGAAGGCAGAATGGAAACAGGAAACAGAGGGAGAAACTGGGATAAGTGAGGTTACGTTGTGGAGCTTGCAATCAATGAGATGAAACAACATGTCTATGGATTACTGAATAGAAAACTGATCTGCTCAGTAAACTTGTCTCCAATTCACAATAAAAAGTACAAAAGAGGCAGGAAATAGAAGCAAATGCTTCTGTACTGCGCTCTTTGGAAAGAAATCACTTCGCACAGCCAACATTACTCCACCTCTGAGCAGGCATGGTGTGGTGCTACTTTTTACAAGTAGAAAACAAATGTTCCATATTAGAATACAAAGAAGATCACATGCCAGTGGAGCAACCCCCCAGAACTGTCCTGGCTATAACTGGGGGTGATGGGGTCAGATCCCCACAGTGCTACAGAGATGCAAAATAGGAACATTTCATAGGCATTGATTTTTTATCTCCCAATCACCTCTTTGTGGACACTTGGTTGGTTGGTCCTTCTTCTGAGGGATTTTGGACAAATATCATGGCCTCATAGATCATTTGAGGGTGATTGGCTTATTTAGCTCATTGACTCATTGCATTGGGTCAATCTGCTGCACAAGTCCTCTTTAGAGTATTGAAAAGCAAGGATGGTACTTTGAGGAGTGAGGTGCACCT